TAACCTGGAAGCACAGATCACGAGGAGGGCAGGGTGTGGTCGGTTTTAATTAGGGCCTGTGCTGGAAGGCTCTCCCTGTGCCTGTGATGGATGGTGGGGGGGTGATGGGGAAGACAGATGGTGGAACTCTGGTTCTAATAATAGGTCTGGAGTAAAAGGTTCCTGAGCGTCTGGTGACAGTGACATACAGCCTGTCTGGAGCTCGGTGTGGGCGCTGCTGCCCTGTCCCTGAGCTCTGCCCAGAGCCTGGCAGGGCTGGCAGACCTGGGGCTGCTCTCTGTGCTGCACAAACCCTGCCCCTGCCTGCTCTCTGCAGAGCCCCAGCAGCCTCCAGCTCTGCCAGAGAGCAAATGGGGGGCCTGTCCCTCAGAGTGTCTCCTTGGCTTCATCGTGGGCCGGTTCCCTGGGTGGGGGATGGATTCTCTGCCAGGCTCCAGCATTCCCAGTGCCATGGGGGACTGTGCTGAGCTAGAGGGGAACAGCCCCCTGCTCCTGCTGGGCTCTGGCTCCTTGACATCCCACTTGCACAGAAATGGTGTCCTACGCCCAGCAGCTGCTGAGAGACATCTCAGGAGCCAGGAAACACTGCCAGAAGACAGAGGTAACAACTTCACTGCAGCCAATTTGGGGAGCTCAGGGCCCCTGGGTACCCCCGAACAATCCCCGCAGCTCCTCCAGTGCCAGTGGAGGGTGATCCGAGTGCTGGATCCCGTCCAGCACTGGGCAATCCGGGCCTTGTTTGGTGAGAGAGACAACAAAACTCAAAGAATTTTTCTTTAAAGTTGGGGGTTACTCAATCAGATGAGAATGAGGCAGCTGTTGATAACTATCAACATCTGTAGCACAGCTAGTCCTGATGTTGGCTCATCATGTGTGTCATCTCCCAACCTCAGATTGCAACTCAGCCCCACAGAGTCACCCTTATCCCCCCAGGGGGGATTGGGAGAGAACTGAGAGAGAAGGAAGGGAGAGAACTCATGGATTGAGATAGACATGATTTAATAGGGAAAGCAACAGCCACACACACAAGCACAGCAAAATAAGGAGATGATGTGGCTGGTAAACTGGTTTCCTGAATGGTTTTTAATGCCTTGGAGAGCTCAGGGGGAGGGTGGGACGCAAGGCCTGTGTGTTGTATTTAAATTAAGTCTGGGTAACTTGGGAGACAAAATGAGGGGAGGTGCTATGGGTGGTGATGCAGGAGCTGTGGGGTGGTGGGGGAGGCTGCTGTGGGATCAGGAACTGCAGCTCTGCCTGTGCTGCTCCCGTGCTAAATGTGTCTCTTTCTGCTCTAGAGGAGGTGCCTTGCTCCTGGATCCAAAATTCACAAAGGTAGGCCTGGAAGTTTGTTCTGTTTGAGCTCAGATGTAGAACTGCTTGCAGAAGCCTCAGATAGAATTTGAAATCCATCTGAAGCTTCAGCAATCCCAAAATAAGCCAACTTTTGGGGCTGTTTGCTTTGAAGGGGTTCTGTTACTCCTTGTCAGAGTGGCTGCAGCCTCCTGGGACAGCTGAGGCCCTTTGGTTTCAGGGCAGTGTTCTTAAAAATCCCATGAAGCCTTTGCTGCCAGCTGCCAGAATCCTGAGGCACCTGAGAGCTGCGTTCTTGCACACTGACTCCACCAGCTCAGAGGAGGTTTCGAGGAATATAATGCATCCTGCAGAGGAGAGCGTGTTCCTGCAGCCCACTCACTGCTGTCGGGCTGAGATGTGCTGCTGAGACACCCATCCTGGGAGAACGCTTCCAGAGGGAGGAGGGAAGGGGGGGAACAACCAGGTCCTCATCTGCAATCAGACCAGAGCGGGCTGTGGGGCTGGCACTGGCGCTGCTGACGTCGGTTCCTCTGGGATGGGCTCGGAGCGGTCTCCGACCCGCACTGTGTGTGTGACACCTGGGAGGCCATTTCCCACTTTGGGGTGGGCTGAAGGTGCTGGAAAAAAGGCTGGAGAAGCTGCTGGACGAGGCAGCCTGTGCTGCAGGCTCTGAGCTGTGGCACCCTCCGAGCCTGGCCCGGGGACCCGTGGGGACAGCAGAGCTGTTTGCTCGGGCTGTGCCCCCATCTGAGCTGGGCACGGCCTCACCCTCACAGTGCTGAGCATTTGGCAGCATTTACGCAGGAAAGGCTCGATCCAGCACTGAAATAGCTGCTGGGGTGACGTAGCAGCACATTTAATGCAAGTGGAGGGTGAGGCTGGAGGAGCTGCTGGTGAGGACAGGTGGGCTCAGCCTTTCTGGGGAAGGAGGGTGAAATATCTCTGGAAAAAATAGCTCTGAGTGCCAGGATCATGAGAAAACAAACCTCCTCGCCCTTCAGAGGCAGGCAGGGAGGCAGGAGAGGCTGGGTTTCAGGGTCAGGCAGACTCCCTGTGGGAACACCTTGGGGCTTATTTGTTTCTTAGCCAGATCAGTACTCGGGTTTCCAAGGTGAGTAATGTTATCACTTGTGGGTGGAACATACCTGTGGGACAGGAGGGACCTGGGATCTCCTCCTGCCAGCCTGGCCCTGAAAACCTTTTCCCTCAATGCCGTGCTGAGGCTCTTCTGCTCCCTTTTTTCTATTTTATGCCTCTGTAGGAAGCAAAGCTGCTGTTTGCCCTCCTCAGGGGCTGAGTGAAGGCCAGATTCTGCTCTCGAGTAGTGTTCTGGTGCCAGGCTTGGCTGTGCAGCACCTTGGTTTGTCTCCAGCAGCTCTTGCTGCTTTGATTTCACCATCCTGGCCTGAGCTGGCTGGTCTGAGCTCTGGGCTCTTGAGTCAGGGTGAGTGGAGGAAAAGGCGAGGGAAGGTTGATGCAGAGCTCTGAGCCTGTGCTGCTGCATCTGGCACTGGTGACCTCCCCCATCGTGTGCCGTGGCCACACCGAGGAGGGGATGGAGTTCTTAGGGCTCAGGTCAGAAGGCTCAGGGTTGGGCCAGTGCCTGTAGGGCTGGGGAGGCATTAAGGATGTGAGGATTGGCTGGTTGCTTTGCCAAAGGTGGAAATGTCCCACTGTTGGGCTGCTTTGGGGTTTGGTCCCCCACCCTGCACACTCTGAGGGCTGTTGAAGAATCAATCCCCCAAAGAGCTGGTCTGGCTGTGCTCAGCCATCCCTTGGCATTCAGCAGTGTCAGGAGTCCTGATGAGCTCAGCTCTGTAGCCCAGTTCTGTTGTGACAGGAGTGACTAAGTAGGGAATTGGGCCAGGAAAGCTTCTAACCACATTTCTCTCCAGCAGGAAAACTGAAGCCCCCCTTTCTGAAGGTTGAGGACCAGAGCAGGTAAATGAGACCTTTCTAAATAACATACCTTAAAGCCTGGGGGGCTGTCAGGGAGGGATTCCTTCCCTAATTTCATCCCCAGTGACTGTTCTGCCCACAAGGCAGACCCTGTTCCACACTGGGAAGCTGACCCCTCTCCTAGAGGGAGGCAGATGGAGTTTAGAGAAACCATCCAGGTGGCTTGTGTGTCAGGGGGAAAAAAGGTGTCAAACGAGACTTGACAACCATTTCCTTCCTTGCTCGGGTTCCATGTGTGATCCTTGTCGGGTCACTTAATCCACTGGAGCCCCGTGCAGTGAGGAAGGAGATTGAAGCACAGGAGGTCAGGGCCTGTAACTTGATTACAGCCCTCAGCACCGGGGACCTGATCCTGTGGTGTTTCTGACAAGCCTGTAACTGTAACAGCATCCACAGGGCCAATTAATTATCCTGAAGGCAACACTTGAGGCGGCTCGGAGTCAAATATTCAGTTTTCTGTGCTGCGTGCACTGAAGTGTGAGGGGAGAAATGTGGTCTGGGAACCACAACCATCCCGTGCTGCTGCAGCTGGAAATGCTGCCCTGCTGTGCTCTGGGGCAAAAGGAGGGGTTTGGCTGGGCAGGCAAAGCTGCCTCCTGTCCAAAACATGCCCCATCAGGGCCGTTACTGGGAATCTGGTTTGACACTTGCAGGGAGAAAGGGGGGTTGTGGCACAGCCAGAGGAGAGCAGTGGGCAGTGTCTCTTCATAAATGGGGCAGCACCTTGAGCCCCTCTGTGAGGGGCACAGCTCTGTGGCCAGGCTGTCCCTGCCAGGAGACTGATGTCCTGATCTGCTGCTTTCAGGCAATTCCGGCCCTTCCATCATCAGTTCCAAAGCTTTCCCCACCTGAACTTCCTGGCTCCCAAAAGCTGCAGCCCCTTTGAGCCTCTGAAAAGCCTCTCGAATCCCTGCCAGGCCAGGTAAGATGGAGCTCCCTTCTGTGCAAGCTTTTAACCCAACTCCCCCTCTCACCGGTGATTCCTGGGATCTGGGAACCTGCTGGCTTTGGGATGTGGGCACAGGGAGCCTGTGCTGGGTTCAGAGGCAGCACAGCCCCTGCTGCTGCTGCCAGGGGAGGGTGACCTTTGCTGTCCCTGCCAGGGGGGCTGAAGGCAGTGATGGAGGGAGGAGCCCCTGCTCCACTGCAGCTCCCAGGAAACGGAGGGGATTCTGTGAGTGCTGCCAGGAGACCTTCGAAGAGCTGCAGAAGGTAAAGCTTGCCCTGGCACCTGATTCCTGGCCAAAGTTCTGGGGGTCACTCAGGGGCCTTTGTCAGTCACGTCATGCCCGTTAGCACCGTGAACTCCTTCAGGAGGAACTGCTGCATCATCCGGGTTGTATTCCTTGGGGTATCCAGTAGGATCTGCCTTGTGGATGGGAACGTGGTGTGTCTCTGCTCTGACCTGGTCTGGGCACACTTTTTGAAGGCTGGAGCATGGCATGCTCATGTCTCGGGCTGGGAGAGCCTCAAGGATCATCCTGTGCCCTGATCTGTAAGGTGAGGAGCCTGTTCCGTGGCACTCAAGGGGCACAGGCGGATTTAAAATTTGGGAAAAGGGGTTTTTTTTGTCTCCTGGAAGGTGCCAAATAACGTGGCTTTCAGAGCCCAGCCTTTACTGACAGACAGTCCAGTTGGAGTCTGTGTTCTCCCTGCTGCTGGGGGGGCTGTGGCTGCTGGTGGGTGTGGACACAGGCTCCTCATCCACAGCTCAGGCAGGGGGACAGTGTGGCCAAGGGTTCCCAAACCTGCTCCCAAACAATGGCTCCAGTTTGCCCTCTAGTCTGTCAGGCTATGCGAAGTGCTTGTTAATGCAAATTCCCGTCCTGGGAAAGCTTTCAATGTTGCTAAAGGACCTCTGCCCCCTCCAGCACCTCCAGAGCCCCCGGCACCAGCGCTTTGCCCGGGATGACTCCCAGTACCTTCCTGTGGATCGTGTCATCTCACAGCTCACCAACAGCTTCCTGCAGCGCTCAGACAGGTAAGTCTGGGGGTCTGGTAACTCCTGGAGCCCAAAAGCAGCAGGATATGGTGCATGACACACCCCTGGGAATGGGGCCCCTGTGCCAGGGAATCATCAGGCAACCGGAGCAGAGGCTGCAGCAGGACCAGCCTGGACCTACCAGGCAAAGCTTAGACAAGCCATGGGAGCTGTTCTTGCATTTCCATGGGTCTTCTGCCTCAGGGAACTCCCCATGGACTTCTAGTGCCTCCTAAACTAGGAAAGGGCAGCTGAGCCCAGCCCTTCTGTCCCCATGTGTGACACAAACCCCACAGCTGGGTAAGCACCCTGTGCCCAGGCCCTGGGCTGTGGGGAGGCTGAGATCCCTCGTGCTGCCCCTCTCCCCTGCCAGCAGCAGTGTCACTGCTGAGCCTCACCAGGCTGCAATTCCTCCCCTGCTCCTGAGCAAGGGCTGCAAACATTCCCTGTGCTGCAGGAGAGGCCTCGTCTCGCTGGGGGAGGGCGTTGCTGGGCCTGGATGAGCATTAACTGATGGTTCTTCTCAGGGTGCCACAGTCCTGCCTGGCAGATGAACATTTAGTGCCTCAAGCACATGGTACTGGAAGAGTGGAGATGCTGACAGAGCTGGGAAAGGAAAGGGAGCAGCCTGAGCAGGGTGCTGTGGAACTGGTGATGGATATGGAGCAGGATCATGACCTGGAGATCAAGGGATGTTCCCCCTGCCTGCCTGGGGACAGGGTCAGAGATCCCAGAGAAGGAGGGGGGCTGTCAGAGCAGGGCTCTGTGGGGCTGCCCAGGGGAGCAGAGCTCAGTGGAGGGGTCTGTGCTGCCCATGGCACCACGGAGGGGGCCGGGCTGGGGCCTGCAGGGCTGGGCTCGGCCCCTGCCCTGGGCTGGGAATCCTGTGCAGCAGCTGCTCCTCCATCTGAACCTCGTGGACAGCAAGTGCCTGGGTCTGTGAGCCACCCCCCAGCAGCACTGCCTGTCCCCAGGAAGCGCCAGCTGTCCCCCAGCCAGAGCTCCCAGGTGGGGAAGAGGCCCAGGCTGGAGCAGGGGCAGCAGACAGGCCCGGTGCGTGGTGGGCTGGGGGCAGAGGGTGCAGGGCAGATGTCTGGGCCAGGCCTGCCCGGTGTGCCAGGGGCTGGCAGGCTGGCCCTGCACACGCAGCTCTGCAGCAGACCTCGTGGCTCCCTGGCTTTGGATGCGTGCCCGGGCGGGAGCCCTGGGGACCCGGGATCCCCGGGAGCTGGGGATGCTGCGGGAGCCGCTCCAGCCGGCGAGGGGGGCTGGAGCGGGGCGGGTGTGAGACCCGCAGGGCAGCAGCTCCGAGGGGGGGACGGGGCCACCCCCGGCAGGGCGAGCAGCCCGGGTCTGGAGAGCACGGCGAGTGGCAGGAGCAGCTGCCCCGCTGGCCGCCCGCCCGTGGCTGGGGCCAGATGTTGCTGCTCGGTCTGTGTCGGGGCGGCAGAAAAAGCATCCCCCGAGGCTGCCGAGCTCCCCGGGCACAGCGCAGAGCGGGCACCGTGCCCTGGGCTGCTTCCCCCTCCCGCTCCGAGCACACGGAGCTTCGGCGGGAGCTCCTCCGAGTGCGACTGGGACGTGCCGCTGCTGAGGGGTGTGCAGGGCAGCAGGATGGCGGCTGTGGACAGGGACGAGCTACACAGGACACAGGGCAGCGGGAGGGACAGCGGCTACGAGTGCCGGCTGCGCTCAGTGCTCCGGCGGGACCCGCAGCCGGGCTGGGCGGCTCAGGACAGCGGGAGCTGCCGGACCTGCTGCACGGGCACCACGGCACCCCCTTTCCCTCTGCTTGAGACGTTTTGTGGCAGCTGGACGAGCTGAAACCGCCTCCTGGACCAAAGTGTGGGAGATGGGAAGGGGCTGGAAAGGTATTTGGCCAAGCCACCCTCCATGTCAGGAGCAGGAGGCACATCCAAGAGCTGGAGTGAGGACCATCAGCATGAAGCGGGCACCACCAACAGCCTGAACACTTCCTTCTCCTGTTGGGAACCGATGGGGATGCAGTCTCTTCACTGCCCTCGGCTGTGTTCTGGCCTGGCATCTTCCCTCCTCTCTGCTAGCCACGTTGAGAGCCAGCAGCTTCCTCTAGCTCCTCGTGGAGCTGCTGACTCAGTGGTCCCTCTGGAAGTCTCTCTCTTCATCAAGAATGTGTTCTTGGCCCTTCCAGAGTGTGAAAGCAGGTGCCAAGACGTGGGAGGGAAGGGTCATGGGGGTGAGATTTTTTTTTGCTCCTCACATGGTTTGGGGGGGTTGTCTTTGAGTATTTACAGATGTTTTTAGCGTGGTTTGTTTGGGGGGTTTTTTTAGCAAACTTTTAAACTTTGTAATAAAATGGAAGGTGAGATCCTGCTCTGCCCTGCTCTGGGTGGAATGTGTCTGGTGGCCAAAGCACACCCAAATTTTGTGACACTTCCAGCAGTAGAGAGGTGGAGAGAGGCCTTGCTGGAGGGGGGCTGTGGGTGCTGGGGTGTGGTGTTTCCAGTCACAGAACATCACCCCACCCATGGTTTACCAGAGGAATGTGGTCAGCAGGCTCTGGGAAGCTGTTGCAGCCAGGGCAGGGGTGGCCCCCAGTAAGGAGGGATGTGGAGAGCAGTTGGTAGGAGCCTGTTGACCCCTCCTGGGCCTGGGGCCAAGGGGAGGAGGTTCTGGGGTGTCTAAAAGCAGCCTTTTAGACAGCCCTTCTTGAAGGGCAGGTCCAAACTGGATGGAGCCAACCCCTCTGCAGTGCCAGGTGTGTCCCTAGGCCAGTGGAGCTTGGGAAAAGGAGAAGCTCAGTGCCCAGCAGGGTGGGACAACCCCAGACCCAGGAGATGTTCAGTCCTCGAGTGAAGGACAACCCTCCCTCCTTCACTGGAGGCTCAAAGGAAGGCCTGAGCAGGGGGATCAGGTGGCCCTGCTGGGAGCAGATTTGGGAGGCAGCAGGGCTTCAGAGGTTCCTCCTGAGAGAAACCCTCCAGGGCAACAGCCAAACTGCAGCTCTTTACCTGCTGGAGCCCCTGCACAGGTAACAAAGGGCTGCTCAAAGCTGCTGCAGGAGCTGAACCCTGCCCAGCACAGGACTCTGCTGTGGAGGTGTCCCTGGACCACCGACTGTCCAGCAGGAGGGGAATTCCTGGGAGAGAGGTCAGGAGGGGCTTGGAGCACCAACCAGCCACCACCCTGGTGTGCTCGGCCTCCTGCAGGGAGGGACCACCCTGTGCCCCTCTGACAGCCAAGGGGGTGTCCTGGCTGATCTGGAATGGCCCCTCTGGGGCTCAGAGCTCCAGGTTGTCCCCCCTGGAGACTGAGATAATCCGTGACAATGTTCCTCGATGGAGGAGGCAGTGAGCTGCCCTAGGAGATCAGCAGGGGGGTGAGGGGTTGTCCTTCACCAAGCCTGGCCCTTCCATGGAGGGCAGAGGGAGCCCTGATTGCTGCCTGTCCCCTCCTCGTGTGACCTGTGACTCATGTCCAGTTCCAAGGCAGGGAACACCTTCCCCTAGACCAGGTTGGTTGCTGATTGTCACCTGGTGTAAACCCCCTCTGGCCGAGCACCCCTTTGTCCCTGTGGTGCTGGGGACCACCAGGAAAGGTTGTCCACCCTCGGGTTGGCACCATCACAGACCTCCTGAGGGGCTGAGCAGGTGCTGGATCAGCTCCACTGCAGGTTCCTTCTCCCACTGGGCATGGGGAGAGGAAGGTCCAAGGGCAGAAGGTCTGGGCTGGGAAGCTCTATCTGCCCCGTGCTGTCAGGGGGGGAGAGGTGGGGCTGATCCAGTCTCATCTGCCCTCGGGGTGCTGCTCTGGCACTGGGGGTCCCTGGGGCTGGGCGTGTGTGCCAGCTGTCTCATCCTGGAGAAGGGAGAGGGGTGTGAAGTGAAACCTCCAGCTTGGTCTTTTTAGGAACATCCTGGGGCTCAGAGCCCCTGTACCCCCCCGGGATGGTCCCTCCTGTGGGTGCCTGGGGCTGTGCTGCCTCCCCCCACGGGCTGGGTTTCACCTTCCACGGTGCTGTACCCACCCCCCAGCTGCAATGAACAGGAGTTATTCGGGGCTTCTCTCTCCAAAAACTGTTCCATTATCCCCAGGGGGAATAGAGCCTCGCAGCGTCCCCTGGAATCAGAGCAACCTGTGAAGGGTTCTGGACTCAGGTGGTACTGACTGGGGGGTTCTGATAATGGTCAGGGCCCCTGGTACTGGTTGGGAGCCTGGTACCAGCTCCAGTCCAGCCTGGAGGGGCTCCGGGGCTGGCTGGGGACCAGCTCGGGACTGAGGACCACTCAAGGACTCGGTACCAGCTGAGGGGGCTCTGTACAGCCTGGGGGGCTCCAGTTCCAGATGGGGAGCCTGGACTGGCTGAGGAGCCTGGAATGATGTGGAAGGGTTTGGTACCAGCTGGAGGGGCTGGCACTGCTGTGTGTGGAGGGAGTCCTGCACGCCTGGGGGGTGGGGGACAGTAGTGCCTGGAGAGGGTCTGCTTTTGGCCTGGGGGGGTCCAGACCTCGGGGGGTCCAGTATCGGCTGGGGGGACCCAGTCCTGGTGCTCCTGTACTGTCTGGGGTGGGGGAGGACACGGTCTGGTGCTGTCTGGGGGGGTCTCACACTGGCTGGTGCACCCCAGTTCCAGCCGGAGTGGGGGGCACCCAGGACTGGCAGGGGGCTCCGGTACCGGGGGGAGGGGGGATGCCGCTCGGGGGGTGATGCCGATCGGGGGGCGATGCCGATCGGGGGATGATGCCGATCGGGGGATGATGCCGATCGGGGGGTGATGCCGATCGAGGGGTGACGCCGGGCCGGGATGGGGTGGGGTGATGCCGGCCGGGGCTCCGGTGCTGCAGTGCCGCGGGTGCCAGCGGCGCTGCGGCAGCCGGGGCGGGGAGGGGGAGAAGGGGCCGGTACCGGGGGCGGCGGGGCCGGGCGGGGCGGGGCGGGCCCGGGGCGGCGCTGCCGGTGCCGCTGCCGGCGCTGCCGGGGCCGGTGCCGGTCCGGTCCGGCGGGCCCGGGGCCGCGGGCGGGGCGGGGGCGGGGGCGGCGCTGCCGGCCCGGCCCGGGGCGGGGGGGCCGGACGGGACGGTGACGGTCCCCGGCGCGGCGGGCCCGGCGCGGCCGCTGGCGGAGCATGAGGGAGCCATGAGCCCGCTGCGGGGCTGGCTGCTGGCCGCGCTGCTCTCGCTCGCCCCGCGGGCAGGTAGGTCCGGACCCGCTCCCGCTCCCGCTCCGGCATCGCCCCCGGTACCGGCCCCGCATCGCCCCGCTCCGCTCCCGCTCCCGGCCCCGCCGCCGCCGCTGCGGCTTTTTCGCTGCATCGACACATTTTTCCGCAGCGCCGCCCCGCAGAGCCCCGGGAGGGGCCGGGCCCGCGACCCCCCCGCACCAGCACCGGCCCCGACCCCGCACCTGCCCCCCGGCCCCGCGGTCTCCCCCGACCCCGCATCTGCTCTGGCCCCACGTCCCCCACCTCGCTGTCTTCGCTGCGGCCCCCCCGTGTCCCCTCTCCGGAGGTGGCCCCAATAGCAGCCCCTCATGTCCCCTCCAGGATGTGTCCCCGTCTCGGTTTCCCTGTCCCCTGCATGTCCCCACAGATGTCCTCGTAGCAGCTCTCCACGTCCCCTTGGGATATGTCCCTATAGCAGCCACCCCCCGTGTCCCCTGGGTGTCGCCTCCGAAGGTGTCCCTGCACCAGTCCTGCTGTCCCCTCGGTGTCCCTTCTGTCCCCATACCAGCCTTCCGTCTCCCACTGGGTGGTGTCCCCAGCCTGGCCCTCGCTGTCCCCTGGGTGTCCCCTCTCAGATGTGTCCCCATTTCAGTCCCCCGTTTTCCCTGGATGTTCCTCCAGGATATGCTGAAACCCCCTCTAACCCTTCCTCCAGGTGTGATGGCATTTCTGAGTGCCCTCCTGTCCCCTGGGTGCCCCCCCCCCCCCGGGATACATCACTTTATCAGCCCCCCCCATGTCCCCTGGGTGTCCCCTCCAGGATGTGCCACTGCATCTGAGGCCCCCTGAGCGTCCCCTCCCAGATGTGCTCCCATATTGGTCCCCTCCATCCCCTGGGCACCCCCCAGGCCGTGCTGCCTCGGTGTCCCTTTCCTGGACACACCAGCGTACCTGGATGTCTGCCCATGTCCCCAGCTGTCCTCCCACCCTCCACATTCCAGGAGTGTCCCCTTCAGGATGCAGTGCCACACTCTGGTCACCCCCGGAGCATGTTCCCCAAACTCCGTCTCCGTGTGTCCCATCCCCTCGTGGACCTGCCCCTCCTCACCCCTATACCCCGTGTTCCCATCCCATGTCCCAGCCCCCGTGTCCCATCCCCGTGTCCCATCCCCGTGTCCCATCCCCCGTGTCCCATCCCCCGTGTCCCATCCCCGTGTCCCAGCCCCCCGGGGTCACCCCGCCCCTGTCCCTGTCCCTGTCCCGCAGGTCCCGCCGCGCAGGCCGGGGCGGTGCCGCGCAGGGTCCCGCGGGCCGGATGGCAGGACGGGCGGGTGGTCTCCCAGATCACCCACCCCAGCAGGCTGGTGGGGCAGAGCTCGGGAGGAGGAGAAGTGGCAAAGCACCAGCTGGACACCAGGGTCAGGAATGAGCCCGGAGGAAGAGGAGGAGGAGGAGAAGGACCCGTAAGTGAAGCAGAGCCCCCCACCCGCTCCCTGTCCAGCGTCCCAGGCGGGTGGCAGGTTCCCAGGCGGGTGGCAGGTTCCCAGGCGGGTGGCAGGTCTCCAGGCAGATGCTGTTGCTAGTCCAGCTGCCTCCCAGTGCATGTATGGGCACCAGCATCCCAAACTAGAGCTCTCATCCTCCCAGGGACCATCCCACTGCCATCCACCCCAGAGGGACACCGAACTGTGCCTCGAAATCCCATTAAATCTGGGTGCTGGCGGCGCCCGGGCGTTGGGAGAGATGGAACGGGAGCGAGCAGGTGGCGGGCAGGGCTCCCACGGCATAGGAATGAGTTTGTGGCTCTGCTGAGGAGGGAACCAGGCCCTGCGGGAGCAACCCCCCCTGTCCCACCCAGTGCTGCTCCCCTAACCCCCCCGGGCTCTGTGCATCCTTCATCCCGATGGCTGGAGCTCCCAGCGTTTCAGGGAGCGGCACACGCTCCCATCCGACCCGGGGGGGGTGGGTTGAGGCCCTGGCAGCCGCCCAGGCCGGCGCCCATCGATCCCCGCCCGCGCCGGGGACGGGGGGGATGATGAGCTGCGCTCACCGCAAAGGTGATTTACACCCGGCGTCGAGTGGAACCGCCGGACGCCGGGAAGCGCCGGCAGCCGCCGCGCTGGCGGGAGGCCAGGGAGGTGCTAAACCGGAGAGCCACGGGGGGATGGAGCGGCGGAGATCCCGGGAACTCGGGGCTGGGTGCCGGCCCCAGGGCCCGGTGACTCCCCCCGGCCTGACCCGGGGATGCGCTCTTGGCGCGGGACATCCCCTCCCGTGGTGACAAACGGGTTCTCCCCTCCCCGTGTCCCCATCCCGAGCTGGGCCGGGTTCCCGGAGAGGGGGACAAGGTACCCCAGGGAGGGTTTGGCTTTTCCCGGCTTCTCCGTGTGGAGCGCCGGAGCTCCCGAGGGCCCCGCTGGCGGGGCCGGGCTCTCACCCGTGCGGTGAGTTTGCGGGGTCTCAGGCCGCGCCGCAGCGCTCGCTTCCCGCTGCCGCTCCCGCTCCATCTCCCGCTGCCGGCGGCAGGAATTAGGTCAGGAGCGCCGGGCGCCGCAGGGAGGGAAAAACGCCGGCTCGGCTGCGGCTCCCGAGCTGGGCCCAGCACCGGGGGGACCCTCCAGCATCCCCCACCCCACCCCGGCAGGGGGAAGGGGGCGATGGGACGCGGGAGCCCTGCCGGTACCACGGGAGTGGTGGCGGGATTGAGGATAAAAAACACCAGTGATTTCCTTTATGCTGAATTTCGGGGGTTTAAAAATAAAAGTGCAGGCTGTATAGGCTGCGTGTTTTGGGTTGGGGTCTGAACTGTTATTTTAGTTATTGGTTTGGGGGGGTGCTGACGGCCCGGGCTCTCCTGCAGGGGCTGCACCTGGCGCAGGTGAGCTTCGTGGTGCACGCCTTCGGCTCCACCTTCACCCTCGACCTCCGGCTGAACCAGTGAGTGACGGGTGACCCGCGCGGGGGTCCTGGTGGGGTGGGGGACACCCATCGTGGGGCTGCTGATGCCCCCCAGCAGGAGGGTGGGGATGAAGGAGCTGGAGGTGCTCAGGGATGGGGGGGTGTGTGTGCAGAGCCATCCCAGTTTCAGTACTGGGGGCTGAGCCCGGAGGAAGAGGGGTCCCTGGGGTGCCAGCACCCTCCCAAACTGGGGGAGTCCCACGGTGGGGTGATTCCACGTATAGGGGTGGTGATGGGTCTACCACAGTGGGGTGATGTCGTGTGCATGAATGGCTGCTGTCGTCTCCCTCCTCTTCCTCCACTTCCTCCTCTTCCTCCTCTTCCTACTCTTCCTCCTCTTCCTCCCCACCCCACGGCCTCTCACCCCCCTCCTGCTCCTGGCAGCCACCTCCTCGCCTCCCACTACGTGGAGCGGCACCTCGGCGTGGGCGGCAACGGCAGCCACAGCACGGTAAGCTGAGTGCCACACCTTGCCAAACCGTGCCATGCCGTGCCACACTATCGCTGGGGTCATGGTGACAGGTTTAGAAATCCCACAGAAGCCCAAGGAGTGGCCCCGACAGCAGCTCAGCACCCACCATCCCCCCCGGGTGCCCTGGGGTACCAACCCGTGCATGGGGTGTTGCCATGGCGATGGGGGATGCTCCTCACACAGGGGTGGTGAAGGGGATCCCCGCGTGCTGTGGGCGCTGGGCGCACCCCGAGGGTGCCAGGCAGTAAACCCCAGAGCCCCCAGCCCGGGGTGCAGCCCCTGGGGGTGAGGGGCGGGCTGGGACCCCCGTGCTCAGCGCTGTCCCCGCTCCGCAGGGCGCGGGGGAGCACTGCTACTACCAGGGCCGGATCCGGGGGCAGCCGCGCTCCTTCGCCGCCCTCTCCAGCTGCCAGGGCCTGCGGTGAGTACCCCCTACTGCGAAAAGGGGGGCTGGGGGGGCTGCACCCCTCTCTGCACCCCGACACGCCCGTCTCTGCTTGCAGGGGGGTCTTCTCGGACGGCCGAGCCACCTACCTGATCGAGCCCCAGGCGGGCGCCGAGCACGGGCAGGTGAGCGGTGGCACCAGGACCTGCCGTGTGCTGCCTCAGTTCCCCCAGGCTTGGAGACAACCTGGGGGACACGGGGACGGGGCAGCCCCCTCCCCACGCGTGGTCATGACACTCCTCTCCCCACGGCAGGGCCTCCGACCGCACCTCGTCCAGCGCGTCCCCAGCTGCCCCCGCCTGGGTGAGCCTTTGTGCAGAGCCGGCGCTGGTCCCCAGGGACTGGTGGCACCGTGTCCTGGTGTCCCACGAGCTCTGTCCCTTCCCTCCAGGCTGCCTTTTCCCTGCGCTGAGCCAGCGAGACACGGGTGGGATCCCAAAGCTGCGACGGCGGCGGCAGGTCAGCGGGGACAGGGACAAGGACACGGGACGTGGGGCTGGGGACAGAGGTTGTGGGGCAGGGGACAAGGGCGCTTGACCCAGGTTGGTCTCTGGGTGTCGGCTGCGGGTGCAGCCAAGCTGGCCTGTGGGTGCTGGGGTCATGTTTACTGGATGCTGCCCAGGGGACCCACTGGAACACTGCAGGGGCTCCACCCCAAGCCCACCCAGCGGTTTTCCCCACTCCCTGCATTCCCAACATCCCTGGCGGGGTCAGGAGCCCCGTCCGGGTGGCCGATCCTGCCGGGGCCGGCTCAGCGTGGGCTCCCCCCGCAGGTCCGCCGAGCCCAGCACACGGTGCACAGCGAGACCAAGTACATCGAGCTGGCCGTGGTGAACGACCACCGGCTGGTGAGTGTGGGGGTCCCCGGGGCTGGCAGGGGCGGGGTGAGGGGTCAGGGTGACCTCCCCCCAACCCAACCTGGCCCGCGGTGTCCCCTCAGTTCCAGCAGCTCCGCAAGTCCGTGGTTCTCACCAGCAACTTCGTCAAGTCCGTGGTCAACCTGGCTGACATGGTGAGGGGGGATCCTGGGGCAGGGGCTGTCCCTCGAGGGGGTTGTAACTGGGGGGGCTTTATCTCTGGCACCGGCCGGGTTTGTTCCTGGGGGGTTCGTTCTCAGGGGTTTGTCCCCAGTGTGGGCTTATCCCTGGAGAGGGGGTTTGTCCCCAGCCCCTGGTGGGTTTGTCACTGGGGGTTTGTCCTGGAGGGGACTGTCCCCAGCAGCTGGTGGGTTTGTCTCCGGGGAGCTTGCCCCTCATTCCTGGCTGGTTTATCCCATGGGGTTGGTCCTCAGCACCTGCTGGGCTGGTCCCTTGGGAGCTGATCCCCAGGGTGTTTGTCCCACTATTTTTGTTTCCTCTGGCACCTGCTGGGTTTGTCCCACTGGTGGCTCGTCCCTGGAGAGTTGTCCCTGGTGACAGGTGTGTGTGTCCCGCTCCCGGGGGATTTGTCCCCGGGGTTTGCTCCCGGTAGCTGGTGGCTTTGTCCCTGCGAGGGGTCTCATACTCAGCACCGTCCCCTCGTCCCCGCAGATCTACAAGGAGCAACTCAACACCCGCATCGTGCTGGTGGCCATGGAGACGTGGGCGGCGGAGGATCGGATCCAGATGGGACGGGACTCCCTGGAGATCCTGAACGAGTTTGTGAAGTACCGGCGGGAGGGGCTGGCGGAGCACAGCGACACCGTCCACCTCTTCTCGTGAGCACCACGGCCCCCCTTGCGCCCCCCGGGCCCGGGGGTTGCGTCCCCCGTCCCCACCATCCTCTTCCTCGCAGGGGTCGGACGTTCGAGAGCAGCCGCAGCGGCAACGCCTTCGTGGGGGGCATCTGCTCCCCCACCCGCGCCTGTGGCGTCAACGAGGTGGGTGCGGAGAGACCCCCGCGAGGGTGGGCTGGGGACAGGGCCGGGGGTCCCAGCGGTGACCCCCGTGGCTCCCGTGCAGTACGGCAACGTGGCGGCCATGGCGGTGACGCTGGCACAGACCCTGGGGCAGAACGTGGGCATGATGTGGAACAAGCACCGCACGGCCGCAGGTACCGCCCGCCACCCGCGGGGAGGGGGGGGCGGGGATGGGGACACTGGGGACACGCCGCGGTGCTGCCAGGCTGGCACAGGACAGCCAGCACCCCCCAGCCCCTCTCCTCTCCCCCAGGGGACTGCCGGTGTCCGGACTCGTGGCTGGGCTGTATTATGGAGGACACAGGGTGGGTGCCCGCTCGGGGTGGCGCTGCCACGTCCCCCGCACACCCCGTGTCACCGCCCCCCCGGCAGGGGCATTGCTGAGGGTCCTGCCCCTCTTCAGGGCCCTGGCCGTGCCCCAGGCAGGGCAGGGGGTGACAGTGGCCCCTACCCCACAGGTATTACCTCCCGAGGAAGTTCTCCCGCTGCAGCATCGACGAGTACAACCAGTTCCTGCAGGACGGCGGCGGCAGCTGCCTCTTCAACAAACCCCTCAAGGTAACGGGCCCCCCGACCCTGGCGGTCACAGCAGGGGGTGATGCTCCAGGGGTGGCTCCCGGGGTCCCCGGGAACTCGTGGTGTCCCCAGCCCCTGTCACAGCCAAGGTAACGGTGCTGGCGTTGAATTGGGGTCCAGGGAAGAGCTGCACCCTCGTGCTTGAGAACTGCCGTTCCCCAGGGATGTGATGCCCTTTTTGGGGGGCTCGTGGCAGCACCTGGCTCGGGCCCCCCCCCCAGCAGCTCTCATGTGTGTGTGCCATGTCCCCCCCTCGGTCCCCGCAGCTCCTGGACCCTCCAGAGTGTGGCAATGGCTTCGTGGAGGCGGGCGAGGAGTGTGACTGTGGCTCTCTGGCGGTGAGCGGGGACGGGGGGCTGCTCACCACACGGGGGGCTGCTCCCCGACGCTGTGGGGGGGGGGGGTCTAGGGGCTGCCAGGGGGCTGATGGCTGTGGTTCTGGCTGCTGTCCTGGCAGGAGTGTGCAAGGAGCGGGGGGAACTGCTGCAAGAAGTGCACCCTGACCCACGACGCCATGTGCAGCGACGGGCTCTGCTGCAAGGGCTGCAAGGTGTGGGGCTGGGGGGGCTCCTGGGGTCTGCATCTGGGAATCCCCTGAGGACTCTGTCCCACCCTTGGTGTTGGTGTCACGCCCTGTGCAGTACGAGCCGCGAGGTGTGTCCTGCCGGGAGGCCGTGAACGAGTGTGACATCCCCGAGAGCTGCACCGGGGACTCCAGCCAGGTGAGGGGGGCTGGGGACACGCTGGGACACACTGGGGGGCCGTGTGGCATCACCCGTCCTCTTTTCCGTGTCCCCACAGTGTCCCCCCAACCTCCACAAGCTGGATGGATACTTCTGTGAGAACGAGCAGGTGAGTCCAGCCCCGTGTGGTCAGACAGGGCCCTGGAGCTGGGCATGTCCCCCTGGGCTCCAGCATCGGGGCTTGGCCGTGCTGGAAGAGCGCTGGGACCATTCAAGGCCAGGTTGGAGGGGCTTGGAGCAACCTGGCCTAGTGGAAAGTGTCCCTGCCCGTGGAAGGGGGGTGGAATGGATGGTCTTTAAGGTCCCTTCCATCCCAAACCAGTCTGTATGGGTTTTGGGGTGAGCCCGTGTCCCTGTGCGCCCGTGATGCTCCCACTCTCTGCACCACTCGAGCCAGGGCGGTGGGCTCGGGGCCAGACACGTGTATGGGGGGGTTTATTGTCCCTGCACCATCTCCACAGCCATGCACAGCCCCTCTGCAGCCCAGTGACCTCTCTCCAGCCCCCTGACCCCTCTGCAGCCCCCAATCCTTCTCCGACCCCTGATCCTCTCCCCTCTCCCAGGGCCGATGTTACGGCGGGCGCTGCAAAACCCGAGACCGTCAGTGCAACGCTCTGTGGGGCCGGGGTGAGTGCGGGCCGGGGGGGCACCTGGGGGGACGCAGGGGGTGACAGGCGGGTGACCCCCGCTCTCCCCCAGGCTCGGCCGAGCGCTTCTGCTACGAGAAGCTGAACGTGGAGGGGACGGAGCGGGGGAACTGCGGGCGCGAGGGCCTGGGCTGGCTGCAGTGCAACAAGCAGTGAGTGACCCTCGTCCCCGCGCCCCCTCCCGGTGCCACCCGCCACCCCGGTGACACCACCGCCGCCTTGCAGGGACGTCCTCTGCGGCTTCCTCCTCTGCGCCAACATCTCGGGGTCGCCGCGGGTGGGGGAGCTCAGCGGGGAGATCGCCACCACCACCTTCTTCCACCAGAACCGCTACGTGGACTGCAGGTGGGTGTCACCGCGGGGACGGCCGTGTCCCCCGGGTCAGGGCGGTCCCGGTGCCACCCGCTTCGGTTGTCCCCGCACAGGGGGGGCCACGTGGAGCTGGTGGACGGCTCAGACCTGAGCTACGTGGAGGACGGGACGCCCTGCGGGCCCGGAATGCTCTGTCTCGACCGCAAATGCCTTCCAGCCAGCGCCTTTAACTTCAGCTCCTGCCCCGGTAGCTGGGACGGGAAGATCTGCTTCGATCACGGGGTGAGGGGCACGGCGGGGACAGGGGGGACCCGGGGGAGGGTCGCGGTCACGGGGGTGACACCGTCCCTGCTTAGGTTTGCAGCAACGAGGGGAAGTGCATCTGCCGGGCGGAGTGGACCGGGAAGGACTGCAGCGTCTACGACCCCATCCCGGAGCCGAAACCCACGGGGGAGACGGAGCGATACAAGGGTCCGTGTGCCCGCGGGGGGGGACGGGCTCCCTGCGACCCCGCTGGCCCCTTACCCCACAGACTGGGGCGGTCCCGCTTTGTCCACACCCGCACCGGGGGTCCAGAGTGTCCCCCCACCCTGGTGCCACAGGCCCCCCCTCCCAGGTCCCCACAGCACTGGGGTGTCCCTGGGGCTGTGTCCCTGTGTCCCTGCGTCCCCTCCCCACTGAGGTGTCTCCCTATGGCTGGGTTTGTCCCCCTCCCAGGTCCTCACGGCGCTGGGACTGCCCTGGGGCTGTGTCCTGGCGTCCTCATGTCCCCTTCCTACTGACATGTTCCCTGTGGCTGGGTTTGTCCCTTTCCCAAGTCCCCCTGGCTTTGGGGCATCGCTGGGGCTGTGTCCCCATGTCCGCCTGTCCCCTTCCCACTGACGTGTGACCCTGTCCCCTCCTCCCTGTCCCCTCTGTCACAGGTCCCAGTGGCACCAATATCATTATCGGCTCCATCGCGGGGGCCGTGCTGGTGGCTGCCATCGTCCTTGGGGGGACAGGCTGGGGATTTAAGTAAGCAGCCACCGCATGGCTCGTCCCCTCTGCTGCTGTCACCGGCCACGTCCCCCCCGTGCACCGTCACCATCCCAGGACTAGACCTGTGCCCCCCCGGGGCACTACCAGTCACCTCGGCTGGCCATCCCCTGCAGCGTGGCCCCCGGTCCCCTTGTCCCTGCCTGGCCCCCTGGCCCTGCCTGGTCCCTTGTCCCGGTCCCTGCCTGCCCCCTGGCCCTGCCTGCTCTGCCTGCATGTGCCGTTGGGGTGTCACTGTCACCCCGGCCCCGTGGCCGTGTCTGTCCCCAAGCATGGGGTGCCGGGGCGGGGGGCTGTGTCGGTGGCCCCCTGTGTGTGCTCCTGCCCGGCACCGGGACACTGCTGCTGCCTGTGGGACCAGGGACACGGGGGTGGGGGGACACACCGTGGGGGACAGCAGAGACTCGAGGGTGGCACTAATGCTCCTCTCCTCTCCCCCTGCCACCCCCCCAAGGAACATCCGCCGAGGAAGGTACGACCCGGCGCAGCAGGGAGTGTAACCGTGTCCCCCCCATCGTCCCGTCACCGTCCCTGTCACCGTCACCGTCACCGTCACCGTCACCGTCCGGCAGCCTGACGGCGTGGGAGCCCCCGGGCCCGTCTGTCCGTGTCGCTGTGTGTCCGGCCGTGCTGTCTCCATCTCTGTGCCCCCACGGCTGAACAGGGACAGCGGCTGGGGGGGGCCTGGCAGCAGCCCCCCCCCCGGTGCTGGCTCAATTCAGCTCAGTGTCCCCCCCCCTCCCCATGTGTCACCCCCCTGTCACAGCCCCCCACTAAACACACCCCACTTCTGTGTTGCAGGTCCGGGGGGGCCTGAGCGGGGCCGCTCTGCCCCACCCCCCCAGCGCCTCATTAACAGCAATTAAATGGGGCGGCGCTGCCGAGGGTCCGGCCGAGGAGGAGAGCGGTGGGGGGGGGGCACCCGGGACCACCCCCCGACCCCCCCACTGCACCACCACGAATGTACAGGGACCCCCGGCCCCCCCGGGCTGGCGGCACTCGGCACCGGGATGAATGTACCTGCGGGGGCAAGGGGAGCCCCCGGCCCCACATCCCTCCCCTGCCCCCCCCAGCAGCATCTTCCAGCTTGGGGGCCCCCCACGGCAGCCCCGGGTACCCCAGGGTGAGGCCAGTACCCCCAGTACCCCCAGTACCAGGCCAGCACCCCCTCCCAGTGCAGGACCTGGGAGTTGTGTCCCCCCCAGCCCACACGGGGACCAAGGACTGCACCCCCAGATGTGCCTCCCTCACCCACCCCCCTCCCAAAAGTGGCTCAGCAGCCCCCATATGGGATATATCCCCTCAAACTTCCCCCAACCCCCCCTGTCATGGCTACACGCCCCCAAGCCATGGGACCCCGAGGTCCCCAGTGGTGGGACCGGCACCCACGGGTGCCAGCTCTCCCTCTAGGGTGGGGGGCTGTCCCCCCACCACTTCCCCAGCTCAGGCAGGTGAACCCCAGACAGGTGGCACTGGGGTTGGGGACCAGGTGACAGCAGGGCCCTCCCCGG